AGTCGATTATAGTTAGTTATTTATGTCCTTTGTATTATGTTTTAGTTTTTACGTGATCCAACATTATTGCAATAAAGAATCGAGTGTGGATTACAGTGTTTAAGCCTTTCTCCCCAAGCGGCGTAACCGCGGGTCTAGTTGACAGCAAGGGTGACCCCAAGCCGTTACAGTAAAAACTCTTTCGATCAAAACGTTCAAGTTAAAACCATCGGATTGAAACAAGGCCTAGCGAACTGATCATGACAGAAAAACGAGTAAGAATACAGACCGAGAAAGGACGCGTATATCAATTACAGCTAATCGAGATCGACTGATCATGACAGAAAAACGAGTAAGAATACAGACCGAGAAAGGACGCGTATATCAATTACAGCTAATCGAGATCGAGTTTCGTAATGCTCAGAGAGAATGGTCAAAACAACACAATAAACTAAGGGATATGATATCTGACAGCGACGATCCCGAGAAATTAAGACCCGAAAGGATATATCTAGAAACGCGATGGGAAATCGTCTCGTCCGTCTACGATAGAATATCAGAATTAAGAAACGAAGAAGATATAGGCACAGAAGTAAACTCACACGCAGAGAAATTTGAGAACTTACTTAAGGAACACAACGAAGTATTAAAGTTGGCAAATAACCGAATTTTGGAACTAAAACGAACCGAGGAGAGAGAGAATTCCGCGCCGCCGTCAATATTAGGAAGTTCCAGTAGCAAATCGCAAAGATCGCAAAAATCGAGTGGCTCAAAGTCATCGACAGCTTCGTTTTTAGAACGAAAGGTAAAAATGGYAACAAAATTAGCGAGGCTGACAGCTGAGTTACATTTAGCAGATGTAGAACGTCGACAAAGAGCAGCRCTTAACAAAACAAGGGAAGATCTCAAAAAGTTCGAGCTGGAAAAAGGATATGAAATAGCACGGGCCGAAATGAACGCTCTCCTCGATATCGAAGGCATAGGATTTGCGGATTTGCCTAGTGAAAACTGTTCACAGGAACGCTTAGAAGAATATTTAGAAGGTCAAGTCAATTSAGTCACGCATTCTCAATTAGACAAATATAATCCTCCTCCGTTGCATTCAAACCCTGTCTCTAACTACAATTCGACCCCGATCACCGTACAAGACCAAATACACCATCAGCTTCTCATAGATTCTCCCATAAAATCTGCATTCCACATGCCACCTCCGCTATTGCCTAATATAAACACTAGTAAAGTCGATAAATCAACAGCGGTAACGCAAACCGCTGGCGAAAATGATAAATACTATACATATATCACCGAGTCACCGACAAAATCGCTCCAGCTTAAGCCTCAATTCGTGACCAATCCATTCGCCACAACAGCTGAACAGTCACGTGATACCGTTYCGCCAGTCACACAAGTCTCCTTCTTGCCCAGCGGAATAGATAGCGCGATAGTCCGCGAGTTTCCATCCGCCTCCCCATCGGCCTCTAGATACACGAACGCTCACACCATGGAAGGATTTGAGCATGCTTCAAGGAACAGACGTTTTCGCTGCACCGGTCCCTACCGCTTCTGCTGCACAACCGTGGTCGGCAAACGAGGAAATCTACCCCCCATGCGAGCTGCGTAGCAAGGCGATCCCGGAGCCAACAATTCCTCCTGATAGGAATGCAGCCACGACTGGTACAGTACGACCTCCAAAGGAATCACCGAAACCCTCACAGTTAGAAAATCCTCTAATGCAACTGGCTGATCTGTTGAGTGAAAGGCGAACAAGAGATTCGCTGCCACTCCCAGAACCTGAAATATTCCGTGGAGATTTGCTTCATTACCCCAAGTGGCTAAAGTCCTTTCAGACCATCGTAGAAGAACAAACTACCAAGCCGGCGAAGCGCCTAAAATACGTCTTTCTAGTAGTTTTCACCTCCCCCGGGCCCTCCCCCCAGCGCTGGCTCTGTGTCCCAAACAGTGAAAGTGAATCTAAACACAAGAACAGTGCGCACGACGGCCGTACCAGACCCTACGGCAGTGTATCTCACGCAACGAAAACAGCCTCTAGAAGCGATGAGAAAAGGCAAGATCCCAGAAGTCCCACCTGTCCAATGTGCAAGGATTCACACTACATAGAAACATGTCCCCAGTATCTCAAACTAACACAAA